AGCCTTCTGGTTAGGCAGTCAAGTGCCTTAGGCACTATGCTACCAGAGCGCCTTCAAACACTACTAGGTACAAAATTTCTTCCAGGTCACTAAATACGTATCACATAAACACTAAATATTAAAACTGAATGTTAGAGATGACACCTGCTATTCAGAGAACTTGGCTTACAGCTGAATTTTTTGAACATCTTTATGTACAAAAGTCTTGAAAATATGTAGGTACTAACATAACTGACAGTATTTCCCCTAAAAAAGGAAGGGATAAAGCTAGAACTTTTCAGCTTATTAAAACTTACTAGCATTTCTTCTCATACAAATTTGTGAATAGATGGAGAGTAAAAGTATTCCTACCCAAATCTACTTTTACTACCCAAAATATCAATATAGTTTTGTAAACTCCTTAAAAACAAACTTCCCCTCAATTTCCACTACTCAGAAATTATTAGCACCCCTCTTCCACTTAAGTGAGTTGTTGTTATGTGCCGTCGAGTCAGCCCTGACTCATAGCGACCCCTCCTTGGGTTTCCGAGGCAGTATCACTACGGAAGTAGGATTGCCCAACCTTCCTTCCAAGGAGTGGCTGGTGGGTTTGAACTGCCAGCCTTCTGGTTAGCAGTCAAGTGCCTTAGCCACTATGCTACCAGAGCTAGCCACCTGCAAATCTGATTCATAAATGTCATAGAACATATTACTTATCCCCCATAGTCCTATTTATGACTTTGAAAATACAACAAACACTTATTTAAAGTTCAGCTTGACATTTCTATATTAACCTGTTTTTTCTTATACTTTTATAATTATAATTATCATGACCAAGGATGATGGTCAGTGACAGGGCCTGTTCTCCCAAGCCCTGTAGCTTTTCTCTACCCCATGGTTATGACATAGGGTCTGCGCAGACTAAGAGCCAAAGGAGGGCAGCTGCAGCGCACACACTGAGAGGGCGTAGCCATGCCAGCATCATAGCAACAGCTGATGAAGAGGCTGCTACTGCTCCTGAATTAGGCAAGATAAGCCCAACACTTCTTTGCAGCACCTTTTAGACTAATGCAAAGTGTGCAATTATAACTATTTCCTTTATGCAAGACAATGTTTTTACAAAAATTATTCAACATATTTAGAAACTGGGATCACTCTATAAAACACTTTCTTCAAGTCCTTATTTTCACACCAAAATATTTATTTTATCTTTGAAAATGGGGATAACCAAACCCACTGCTGTCAAATCAATTCCAACTCATAGTGACCCTCTAGGACAGAGTAAAATTGCCCCACAGGGTTTCCAAGACTGTGTGGAAGCAAACTGTCACATCTTTCTCCTGTGGAGTGGATGGTGGGCTTGAACTGCCAATCTTTTGATTAGCTGCCAAGTGCTTAACCATTGTGCCATCAGGGCTCCTAAAAGCTGGGATGGACACCTTAAAAACGGAAACAGAAAGGCAAAGCCTAACTCAAGGTACACAGAAAGCACAATTAAAAACCAAGGCTTCCTGTAAGCTAGTTTAGTGTCCTATTCCACAAGCACAGTCAATACAAAGCTAACCATCTAATCTTTTTCATGTCTGTTTTATGCAGTAACTTTTCCCATAATGTCATTCCCTCATTGCTTGATGCTTCTAATATGTAAATAAACGTAGAGCACAATGGTTAATAAAATTAAATAGCCTATCAATCCTTCCAGGAAAACTTCTGCAATTTGGACTTTACACTGTTTCCTTTTCTATGGATTATCTATGGAATAAGAAAGGTAGATGAGATGATCTCTTAATCCCTTTCCATGCTAAGACTTTATAATTCTGTAGCTTTTGTTGTGGTTTCTTCCTACATACTGGCCTTAAAAAACAACAACAACAACAAAAAACAGGCACAAATGACTAAACATGAGTTAACTTGGTAGCTTTGGTCCTAGGTCTTTACATTCCTTTAGAAATGCCTCAATGTGAACAAACCACTGTTTCCTCAGTGAACGGTTGGGATAGTACCACGTATCACTTGCACATTTCCCGAATAGTACTATTTAAAAAATAATCAATTTTCTTCCATCTAGGCCTCTAAAACAAAATCATTATGACTGATACAGCATTAGATACAGTTATAAATAATGATAAGTAGCTTTAAAGAAGATAATCTGAGTTTCATCATATGCATAATTATTCCAGTCAACGGAAGCAATATAAATAAAATTTTTTAATAAAAATGATGTCTGCCTTAGGAAGGGGAAGTTTCAAAGTATAAAATAAAGACAATAGTTAATGCACAAAGCACAAGAATCCTTGAGTGATATTTTACAAATATCCCACACTAAAAACACCAAATTTACTCCTTAGGTACGGCAGAATAACAAATTTATAACATTAAATATAAATACAATTTTGCAAGGATGTATTAAAGTCCTTGTCAAGCCTATTAAAACAGGTGCTATAAAGGCATTCCTGGCATTTTTCATTCATTCACAGTGTATTTTCTTTTCCAGATTTCAGAACTGCTGCTCAAGGTGCCATATAACAAGTTATGGTAACAGGGTAAAAGGCAGGAAGCAATCAAATTGCCTCACAACCTCAACATTTAGCACTACTAACAACAACAACAACAACAACAACAAAATACCGCCATTGAGTCACTTTGGAGTCAGCAACTCTGTAGGACAGAGTAGAACTGCCCCATAGGTTTCCAAGGCTTTAATCTTTACAGCAGCACAATCAAGCCACTGACCTTTTTGTTAGCAGCCCAACGTTTTAACCACATCTCCACCAGAGCTCCTCTTAGTACAACTAGCTGTGGTTATATAACACAACTTGAAGACAATACATTATACTTTTTACTATTTCTAACTCCAAAAGAATTTAGACTTGCAAGACAAAGATTTTTCTTGTACGAGGCACTAAGTCCATTCTACCTATCCTTTCTATAAGGCAAAGAAATGTTTGTTTAGAAATGGAAACATTGGTTTGATTTTACCTTGTGATCCATAGGAACTGGTACTTTAGCCAGCATAAAGAAAGTGCATAGACACAAAAAAAATTCTTAAAAAAACAAAAAAAAAAGGAGATAAAGATTTTTTTTGTGTGCAAAAACACTCAATTACTTCCAAAAGACTGCCTTTAACTGCAAACTCCTTTCCAGAAGTAATTTCACACTACAGGTTGAAAATTTTCCATCAATCACAAGTTCACAGTGATTTTAGTACCATTTACACTTAGTTATAATACAAATTAAAAAATTTTAACCCTAAGTTATTGATGTTAAAATTTTCATTTGTTGTTCTTCATAAAAATAGCTTTCTAATGTAAAATTATGCCATGTAGGAAACTGTAATGGCCTTAATTTTGTTTCAAAGTAAACATTCCTAGAAGAGACTTAACAAGTACTAAATAACAAAAAAACATAATACTCTTAAGTTTTTTAAAAGGAGAATCTCATATATAGATTGTAATGAATGCATGTAGATATACTAGTTTTATCTCTAACATTCTAAAAACAAACGAATCTATATGTAATACTAGCAAGTTACATATGTGCTGCAAGTAACACTGTTACGTAGCAAACCAAATTTTAAATGTACTTATGTAAAAACGAAATCTAAAAGAAACTTTAGAGCCCTCAGATAGTAGCTTCTTGACCAATGAATCATAAGTTTATCATGTTCACAGTTCAGATAAGCTTAAAAATGGAAACAGGAAACCTTAATCAAAGAGTATAACCAGCTTCTACATTAAATTACTATAACAAAAGTTTTTCAAAACATTTAACTTGTTTTATTTTTGGCCCTTAACTAGGTTAAGAATAGAAAAATACTCTAGTAAAAGAGTGTAATAACCAAATAATCTATAGGAGCAAAACAAGATATAGGAACAACCGTTTTTGGTCTTTTTTTTTTCCTGCATAACTACAAACATTATCATCTTCTATTAGGCTTTCCATTTTTAGGACATTCCTAGGAACAGAATGCCCCTTATCTGAACTTTATCAGATCAGGTTGGAAATCTATTTTTCAGACAAATTTAAAATGTGAGTTTTTTAAAATATTAACAATTTACTCCTTTAAAGACAGGGAAGCGCCATTCATACTCATCCACTCAGAAAGATGACAAAGAAATCTTTTTTTTTTAATAAACTATGGATAAAATATTTCTCCAACATATATAGTACAATGTAGATTTACTTCCAATCAAAAGCATTAAACCTCATGCTGGACAATAATATTCCACATTTTATACCACGGGACTATAGTAAAAATAGGTTTTTGAGCAGCTTTAGATAAGATTATAACTAGAAGTATGCCAAAAGTCTTATCCAGAATCTTCAGATGAGAAATTAAGCTTTTTGGGTGGGTGTGCATGTACATGTAAAGGAGTTTGTCTTTAAAAAGTAATTTTAATATTCTGAAGTTTCCTGATGATAATCTCATTATAAGCTTGGGTAGAAACAATAGCAACATTGGGTTAATTCAATTATGCACAGAAACCTCATAGAGTTTAACTTTAAAATGTGGGCTTAAAAGCCAATCACCTATCTTCATTTAACTCTATACAACATCAGAAAATAATGATACCTTTCTCAAACTGGCTTCTTAGTGGCAGTAAGAGAAGAAAATGGCCATGCAATGGTTTACTCAAACCAACAGCTTTCCCTGCCAGTGGTACATCTAATCCTATTCTACAAACAATTTTCAAATGTTCATCCATCCATAGTTTGTGTTCTAATCCACTATTGGTAAATTGAGTCACCAAATTTGCTCTAACAGTCAAAATAAATTTTTCTTAAGAACATATTTTGAAAATAATGTATAAGTTATGCCTTTCAAGTCCCATTCTTCAAATCCAAGATATATGCAAATGCTGAGGCAGCTCTCTCTCAGAGCTTACCAGTCATTGTAACACTAAAAATAATAAAATCCAAGTTGATGTTCTAGTATTAAACTTGGTTTAACTATACCATCTTTCTCATGAACAGCGCTTCTCTGTTTAAGAAAAGCTCATCTCTGAAATATGCCTACTCACATGAAAAACTGGGAACCATTGGTATGTTTCCCTCGATTTGCCATTGACAAAAGGAACGCTCTGTCATGTTTGAGAATAAAGTTTTCATCTGTTTGAAGAAAAAACAGATTCGTCAGTCTCCAATTATAAGCTACTTTTCAAGTGTAATGTTCACAGTAATAAACAGAAAGCAAAGGATGAAATTCCTCTTCTGGTCAGTACAGATACTTGACTGAATACTTCGAAAAAAAAATTAAGCTAATCAAATCACAAAAGCATAAAAAGATCAAGAAATACTAATTAAAGCCTTGAGAAAAAGAACGTATTTTTAATACTTTATACAAATAGCCTTAGAACAGTCACTTTTAGTAGTAACATATCCTGGTTAATTTAATCTATTAATTTTCAGGGAAAACTAGGAAAGAAATTTTTTAAAAATTGCTATAGTAAACTCATTTCTTTCAAATTTCCAATTATCCTGCCTAATGTACTACACACAGGAGAAGTTTACTAATCCCCTTATGTGCTTAATTTCTATATGAAACATTCACTGTTCAACTGTTTTGAAGCTAGACTATGAAAGCAAAAAATTATGTAAGTTAAAGGGCTATGCCTAAATTAAAGTAAGTATGTGGAGTCCTTTTAATAAAAAGGGTAACAAAATTAGGAAAGGAAGAAATTCCTGCAAAAAACAATTTAAATGGTGAAATATAATTTTAAGATACATAGGTATCTGCCACAGAGAACAACCATATTAAAGTGGCCTGCAGCATTAGCTTCAAATTGCTGCATGCTCATGGAACCAGCTATTTGCCATTGACAAAAGGAACGCTCCGTCATGTTTGAGAATAAAGTTTTCATCCGTTTGAAGAAAAAACAAATTCGTCAGTCTCCAATTATAAGCTACTTTTCAAGTGTAATGTTCACAGTAGTAATGCTTCCTAGAAGTACAAAGGAAAAAAAAATCTGGTGTAAAGATCCCTTAGGAGAAATGCCTTGAAAACTAACTTAAACTTCCTTCTAACATTCATACAACAAATCTTTCTTTAGAACAAACAGAAACATAGAAAACTTAAAAAAATAATAATAATAATAATTACCTTGGGAACAGGCTTCTGAAAAAGAGTAGTTATCCATTTTCCCCCAAAAGAAATATAAAAGACTATTATAACACTGAAGCTATTAGTGTTAAAATGTAGTCATACTGGATCCCACTATAAATCTCTGCAACTGACTTTTCTAAGGCTTTTTGGGGCAAGTGCAATAGTTAGATTTATGTAAATACTACTACTGTAGGAATGAAAGACAATCATATACTTCTAGTATACAAAGGAAAACATACAAACCTTTGAGAAAGAAGGGAATACAATACCACCTTGTAGTCAAACAATTTGCTTGATTTAGGAAAAAACATAAAAACAAAACACAAGTATATTCTTTTCCCTGATGTGGAACTAATAACCCATTGGGAAAAGAAAAAGATATAGACGCATGTATGAAATAATACACAGAATTTTCCAAGTCTTCACGCAATATAGAAATCCAGTCACAACCTGACCCAAGATGTCCATAAGTTTATTAGGAAGGGTGCAAGGGAAAAGAATTGGAATTTGTGTTACTGAGCTTCGTTCTCTTACCTTTTCATTTTGCAAAAGACCACATTCTCTATAAACAAAAGAATATGTTGACAGTTTTAGGCAGGAAGATAGGAGTTTTCATGTATATAGTTGCCTAACCTCCATGCTGAAAGTCATGTTTAACCATAAAGTTAGCTTTAATTAATCTTGTCAATTAAAAGCTATATATTATGTAATTTATCCCCAAATTCATGCAAATAAAGTATTTTCATGCAGCATTAGTTTCATGCAAAAAGTGAACTATAAGTAAACCTCTTCTCATTAAAAGTATATGATCAAACTTGCTTTAATAACAGAACTGAAACAAAGACCATAAAATATTAAGCCTTACCTTTAAAATATCCACCATAAATTGATTCTCCACCTTTTCCATTACCTGCAAATAATGAGCAACATTAAGCCATAATGAAATTTAAAATATATTTAATATATATAAATTACTTTTTATGGTTTCAACTCGCTGAAGGAACAAATACCTTGTAATTGCAGGAGATAATCAAAAGCTAAAGAATCCTCAATTAAAATATGAATCAAATCCTATTGAAAAATGATGTTCATAATCCATTTATTTCAAACATAATAACACCAACACAATTCTTAAAGAACAAAAAAAATCAGATAGCACTTTGGAGTTCATTATAAGGAATTCTACCTAATATTACTAAAGTAAATTATATAAAAATAAAATGAAATGTCTTCATATTGTGCTTTTTCATACATTCTTGGTCTAAAATAGTCATTCATTCAACAACTAATCACTGACCATCTCATATTTATAGTATACTTTGAGTGATACAGTATTTCCAATTAAAAGAAACAATGAGATACTCTAGAAACTGGTAGATGGGGCATTAGGAACATAACTTTTAGCTCTACCTTCACTGAAGTCCCCACCCTGAATCATAAAGTTTTTAACCACACGATGGAATGTAGAACCTTTATAACATAACTTCTTCCCAGTTGTTTTCCCAAGGCCTTTCTCCCCTGGAAAAAAAAGAAATGAAATGAAGTTTAGCTACAAACACATTCTCCCATGTAAAGAACCAATTAATCATTCTTTATCAAATTCCTCCTGTGTGCTGGACACTGTAAGAGAGGCAAGCAGTAAGAATGGCAATTTAACACACAAACATACACACAAAATAAAATAAATACTACAAACCAGAACACAAATGTTAACTCGTATGGTACAGAATTTACATGACGTAAGAGATCAAGAAAGATTTAAAAAAAAAAAAAAAAAAATCAACCTTTTGCTGTAGAATCAACTGCAACTCATAGTGATCCTACAGAACAGTAGAACTTGCCCCATAGGGTTTCCAAGGCTGTGATCTTTCTGTTTGGAAGCAGAATGCCACAAATTCCTCCCATGGAGTTGCTAGTGGGTTCAAAGTGTTGACCTTTCAGTTAGTAGCCAAGTGCTTAACCACTGTGCCACCAGGGCTCCTCAAGAAAGATTAGCCAACGTTTACATTAGGTTGATACACTCCTTGGAGAGATCAATCATGGGAGAATAGAAGGGTTGTGTATACACAGGGAGACAGCTCAGGGGGCAGGAGTGCATGGGAGGGAAGGACATAGGGAAGAGGTGGCTATGGGGAGGAAGTGGGAGGGGAGCTGCTGCATTATGGGAGATTGCAATCAATGTCATGAGACAAAGTATATGTGAACTGCTGTATGGCAGATGAATTTGCTCTGTAAACTTTCACCCAAATCACAATAAAACTTTAAAAAAATAATAAATAAAAGAAAGAAAGATCAGCCAAACCCACTAAACGCACTGCTATTGAGTTGATTCTAACTCAAGGCAACCCCTATAGGTTTCCATGGCTGTAAATCTTTACGGAAGCAGACTGCCTCATCTTTCTCCCAAGGAGTGGCTGATGAGTTTGAACTACCAAACTTTTTTTGGTTAGCAGCCCAATGCCTTAACCACAGAGCCACCAGAGCTCCTTAAGAAAGATGAGAGGCATACAAAAAAGAACAAAATCAAAGAATTGGTGCAAACATGTCTGTGTGCGTCCAAGTATAAATTAAAAAAAAAATAGTAATTTGCTATTTCTATTTTCAAAGTTAATACTATAAATGTTTTTCTTCATTTTTTTCCTTCATATTTAAAATATAATTCAGTTACATATAACAAAGAACAACTTCATTATGTTTTGCCTCTCTACTTCCTAACCCTAAATTTCTTATGAAATCTGGAATGCTGAATTTATTCATAGTACTCAAATTTATAAAATTCTAACAAGACAAGCATTTTACTGTACTATTATTATATAAACTATGATCTTAACAAATTACAAATAAGACAGAAAATTTAACTGTGATCATGCAGAACCTATACATGCATCAAGAAGCAGCTGTTTGACAGAAAAAGGGGATACTGTGTAGTTCAAAACTGGAAAAGGTGTATGTCAGGGTATCCTTTCTTTCACCTTACTTATTCAATCTGTATACTGAATAAATAATTCAAAAAGCTGGACTATATGAAAAATAACGAGGCATCAGGATTGGAGGGAAGACTCATTTACAACTTGCAATAAGCAAACCTTGCTTGCCCAAAATGAAGATGACTTGAAGTACTTACCGATGAAGGTCAAAGACCATAGGCTTCAGCAGAGATTATGCCTGAACATGAAGGGGGGGAAAAAATCTTCACAACTGGCTCAATAAACATCATGATAAATGGAGGAAAAAAATCAAAAGTTGTCAACAATTTTGTTCTGCTTGGATCAATAATGCCCATAGAAGTAACAGTCAAGAAATCAAGTAACATTGCATTTGGCACAATCTGAGGCAAAAGATCTCTTTTAAGTGTTAAAAAGCAAAACAAAGATGTCACTGTGATGACTAGGGTGCACCTGGCCCAAGCCATGGTCTTTTCAATTGCCTCATATACATGTGAAAGCTGTTGTTGTTAAGTGCCATCCAGTCCTTTCCCACTCATGGCAACCCTATGCACAGCAGAACGACATAATGCCTGGTCCTGAGCCAGCTCCACGATTCCTGCTACACTTGAGTTCATCACTGCTGCCACTGCCACCATGTCAATCCACCTCGTTGAGGGCCTTCCCTTCTTTCATTTACCCTCCACCTTACCAAACATGACATCCTTCTCCAGGGAATGAGCCCTTCTGACAACATGACCAAAGTATGTGAGACAAAGTCTGGCCATTTTCGCCTCCAATGAGCATTCTGGCTGCACTTCCTCCAGGACAGACCTGTCAGTTCTTTTAGCAGTTCATAGTACTTTCAGCATTCTTTGCCAACACCACAGCTCAAAAGCATCAACTCTTCTCTGGTCTTCCTCATTCATTGTCCAGCTCTCACATGCATATGAGGTGACTGAAAATACCATGGCTTGTGTTAGGCACACCTTAGTCCTCAAGGAGACATCTTTGCTCTTCAGCACTTGAAAGAGGTCCTTTGCAGCCAAGTTGCCCAGTGCTATTCGTCGTCTGATGTCCTGACTGCTGCTTCCATTGGCATTGATTGTAGAACCAAGCAATGTGAAGTCTTTGACCATTTCAATCTTTTCTCCATTTATCATAATGCTGCTTATAGGTCCAGTTGTGAGGATTTTTGTTTTCTTTATATTGAGATGTAATCCATACTGCTGACTGTATTCTTCAATCTTCATCAGTAAGTACTTCAAGTCATCCTCACTTTCAACAAGCAAAGTTGTAGTCAGCGTATCACAGGTTGTTAATGATTCTTCCTCCAATCCTGATGCCATGTTCTTCTTCATATAGTCCAGATTCTCGGATTATTTGCTCAGCACACAGACTGAATAAGTATGGTGAAAGGAGACAACCCTGACGCACTCTCTTCTTGATTTTAAACCATGCAGTGTTCCCTTTTTGTGTGTGAACGAACGATAGCCTCCTGGTCTATGTACAGGTTTCTCATGACTACAATTAAGTGTTCTGGAATTCCCATTCTTCTCAGTGTTATCCACAATCTGTTATGATCTACACAGTCAAATGCTTTTGTATAGTCAATAAAATACAAGTAAACATCACAGTGACATCTTGGTTTGCTTTTTAACACTTTAAAGAGATCTTTTGCCTCAGATTGTGCCAAATGCAATGTTATTTGATTTGCTGACTGTGAAAGTTGGACAGTGAAAAAGGAAGACTACACTCCAATTGTGATGTTGGCAAAGCAATACGAAGAGGTGAGAATAACCTCTAGATCAATCAAAGCCCACGAGCCACCAAATTCCCATATCCAGAGCCTATGTGCTGCCACTGTGTCCATCATGCCCAAAGAGAAAGGCTGATGGGGATGCTAAGGGAGATAAAGCCAAGGTGAAGGACAAACCACAGAAGAGATCCACAAGGTTATCTGCTAAACCTGTTCCTCCAAACCCGGAGTCTAAGCCAGTGGTTAAAAGCATTAGGCTGCTTGCTAACTGAAAGGTTGGTAGTTTGAACCCACCAGGTATTCATTCCACAGGAAAAAGATGAGACAGTCTGTTTTTATAAATATTTACAGACTTGAAAACCCTACAAGGCAAGTCCTACTCTGTCCTATAGAGCAGCTCTGAAGAGGAGTTGAATCAATGGCAATGGATTTGGTTTTTCGTTTAAAGAAGGGAGAGAAGTTACCCAAAGGGAAAAAGGGGAAAGCTGATGCTGCCAAAGATGCAAATAATCCTACAGAAAATGAAGATGCCAAAACAGATCAGGGGCAGGAAGCTGAAGGTGCTGGAGATCCCAAATGAAGTGTGTGCATTTTTGATAACTGTATACTTCTCGTGTTTGCACAGTTTGAAATAATATTTTTCATCAAGCTTTATAAAAATGCGGAATTCTGTTTTACCTGTTTTTTTTTTTTTTTCCCAGCTATATTGCTACCACATAGAACATTTCATTGTTGTTTTTTTGGGGAAGGGGCAAATGTAACTAACAGAAATGTCTCTGAAGCTGAACTCATAGAGAAGAAAATACCTTTCCCTTCTAGTTTTCAGAGACTTCCTCTTGGTTCCTAGAAGAAGGGATTCCTTGACTTTGATACACATTAGTTATTTGGGCACAAATACTTTGTGGTGTGGCAAAATTAAAATTTATTTTTATGTTTTCATATCCTCTTCTCCTTCTTTGCCTTCAGCATAGACTTGACTCCCATAAACCCAGAGATCAGTTGGATTGACCCCCAAAAATCAGTTACCAGTACATAAGGTAATCTGGACTTTCCAGTGATGTCATCTCAATGGTGTCCCTCAAAAGAGCTGTTTCTTTTATTAAATTGTGGATCTTCAGATTGATAATTCATTTCATTTTCTGACAGTCAGGACTAGCTCATGAAAAGTTGTTAAACATGCTAAATGTGAAATGTCAACCACCACTCTAAATTTTCCCTGTTCCAAACATCAAAACTTCACTAGGTTTTACAATGGCCTTCTGATTTTGGTAGTCCACTGAAGAAGGGAGTTTGAAAGTTGTATACTGTTAATGATTGTCTGACGATGTCCTGCCTGAAATACCATGTTGTTTATGAAACACATTTTTAATAAAGCTGGATACAGCTTTATTTATTTATTTTTTTGATATAGTTTAGCTTGGGGAAAAAAAAAACTGTGATGTTGGAAAAGAATATCGAATATATCATGGACTGCCCGAAAAACAAACAAGTCAGTCTTAAAAGAAACACAAGACTGGCTAGCTTATTTTGGACATGTCATCAGGAAAGACCAATCATTAGAAAAGGACATAATGTTTGGTAGTGGGTAGAGGAAACTCTCAATAAGATGGATTGACACAACAGCCACAACACTGGGCTCAAACATCCCAATGATCGTGAAGGTGGCCCAGAACTGGACAATGTTTTGTTCTGTTATACACAAGGTCACCATGAGTCGGAGCTGACTGGACAGCAACTAACAACAATACGAATTACCATGTACAGAGATTTCATTACATAAAGTAGATTCTTTTTCACTTCTGGAATCATTTCTTTCTCCTCCCTTCAAGAAATCTTTCCCTGATGCCATACAAAAGGCAGTGAAAATATATATATTTTTTTATTTGAAAAACTCATTTCACAGCCCACTATCTTTTCCAGGAAGAATCTGCTCTGTTAAGCAAGGTAAAACTGACTGCCATGATTCCACATTGGAAACAATAATTCTACTTACCTGAGCATAGGCAAAGGAAGTTTTTGCATGTTTTTGGACATATGTCTGAGAAGAGCTGAAACATAATACGACCAACTGAAACAAAATACATAGAAAAAAAAATTGTAAGCAGGTTGATTAAAAGTACCACATTTTATATAAGAGAAAGAGAAGAAAAAAACAGCATCAACAAATTGGAAGGTTCGTTTCTGTAATTTATTCTAATTTTTTAAAAGACTTAATGGGAGAGAACTTAACTAGGCAGTACCAACTAACGATGACTTAACTCTGTTAATCTTAAAATTCACATGTAGCCTAAGTGGTTCCAGCCCTAAAATTGTAGGATTTTAAGAATTTAAAAGAAGCTTATATTATTAGAGCCATTTTAATACATTCCCCTACCCGAACTATAAATCATTAAAAGGCTCCTGCATAACAGTTAGACAGCTATTATTGGATCTATGTCTGGATCCCTCCTGTGATGAGCACAGATCATATCATAAAAGTCATTCCGGCCAGCACTGTTAAAAGGATGTTCTTATCCTATATTTCCAGCTTTCTACCATCAGTCAGAACTGTTTAGAGCCAATTTCCTGAATTGCACCATCTACATGTCACTTAAAATGCACATTCTATTCTCTGAGAAAGCAGAAAGAGAAAACAGTAATACTTTCTATAGTAAAGAGAAAATGAAGAGTATGGCTGCAACTTCAATTTAACTACACCATCAAGAACTGATTCACAAACTTTCTGGTCTCAGCACTCCGTTAAACGCTTCAAAATTACTGAGCTTTTGTTTAAGTCAGTTATATCTATTTATATTTACTGTATTCATTAATAAATCTGGTAATTTTCTCAAACAAGCATATACTATCACACACTACACAGCTGTCAGAGCAACAGCCTCACATATCATGTAATCTCTGGACAACTCCACTGTACACTTGTAAGAGAATGAGAATGCAAAAGGAAAACAATTATCTTAGTATTTAACATAAAAACACTTTGACCTTGCAGATATCCTGAAAGGATCTTAAAACATAAGAAGGGAGTTTGGATTTACAGTCACTCTCCTGAGTTTGTTTCCCCTTCATTCTAAAAAATTTTTCCAGTATGAATATTTTTATTTACTCAAAGCAATTTACAGAATACATCAAAATTAAATGTGGACAAAGCGTAAAACACTTTTCATATAGATTCAAAATTACTTTTGATATACTTTAACATCACAAGATTTTTTCATTTATTCCCAGCCATGTCAGCAGTTCCTTTGAGGACAAAACAAAACTATAGCATTTTAGGCATCCTTAAGGGGTAAAAAGTGGGATAATGACATATGGGGAAGACTTTCCTATGTCAACACTTTGCCTGTAGCTTTAATGGAATCAAATTTTAAAGCAATTTCAATTCTTGAAATCTAAGAGAATAAAGAAAAAGATGGGAAAAGAAAGCAAAAAGGAAGACTTAATTAGGAAGCAATGTGTGTAAAAGTCAATTTAGAGTTTAAAAAATGTATACATTACCAGTACTATTAAATAGATGCTTTTGAATGAGTGAATGAATGAATAAGTAAGATCTTAGGAGAACTTATTACTCAACAAACACTACTTACAATTTAGTGGGACTTAGTTATCTTCTAGAATTTGTCATTACTATCAAAAATATTCTTTCATATATAGAAAATTTCTTCCAAGGAATTATCTCTATGCCAATAAATACAATGCTTTACAATCGTTACAGTAAAATCTGAAACTGGTTAGTATAAGCATTAGAATGGTGTGTTTAGTGTAGAAAATGTGTGCCTAAGGGCAAAAGTGATCCTGAACAAGACTGGCTTCCAACCTTAATCTGAACATACCAACATGAAGATCCTTAAAAATAACATATACAGGGATATATCAAGAGTAATCAGCTAACATCAAAATATTTTAAACTTTGGCTACAGAAAGAAAAGCCAAGATTCTCTATGCTTTATTGCAGATCCTGATTCAGCTACTTGGTGGCAGGAATGAAATCAGTAGCTACCCAAACCAAAAACCAAACTCACCACCATCTAGTAGACTGCAACTCACAGTAATCCCCTTTGGGTTTGCGAGATGGTATATCTTTACAGATGTAGATTGCCCCATCTTCCTTCTGTGGAGCGGCTGGTGGGTTTGAACCGCCAGCCTTCTGGTTAGCAGTCAAATGCCTTAGGCACAACGTCACCAGAGCTCCTTAGTAGCTACCGGAATCTGGATAAAACCCAAAATCACACTAGTTTTATTGTTCTCAGAAACAGCTATGCTAAAATTGCAGACTGCAATGCTGAGATCATGGAGATAAAATACATAGTAGTTGGGAAAGTGAGCACTGCTTCGAAAAAATATAGAAGTTGGCACACAGCAGAAAACAGCACACAGACAATTTAAAGGAAGAGAGAAGTATAAGGGCAAAGGCAGGAACAGTTTATATTAGGAGGCAAAAGGTAAAAACTCCACAGGATTTTCATTTGCTGGTTTTTAGAAGTGATTCTAGTCTTAGTCTAGAAGCATCACTGAAGCCTACTCAGCATCAAAGCAACATACAAGCCAAGCCTCCACTGACAAATGGGTGGTGGCTGCCACAAGGTGCACCGGACAGGAATCGAATTCAGGTCTCCTGGAAGGCAAGAATTCCACCACTGAACCGCCAATGCCTCAAAGGTAAAGAGTAATAAAATATACTTTCACAAATGAAGAAATATCTAAATATACAGGTCAGAAGTATTCACCACATACCAGGAAAAGAAGCAATATCCAGACATACCCTAATAAAGTGATCATCAGAGATATAAAGGAGAAAAAAAAATCCTTACAGAATCATGTCACCCAAAAGGAAAAATAATTAGGCCCATTTCAGACTCCCTTACATTAGAAACTAGAGACAACAGAGCAGTGGCCACAACCTTAAAGGAAACAATAGGCTGTAAACCAAGAATTCTACACTGGCAAAGGAAATAATACACTATTTAGATTTTATCCTAAAAAATCTATTTGAATATATAATCCTGAGATATGACTCAAATATAATTAAAAAGTGAGAAGTTAGTAGGAAAAGAGTGGTAATGAGTGCTGAACCCATTACAACACAGAATTAAATCTAAATAACAATGGTAATTATGTACATAAAACAGAAGAAATGTTACAGCTATTGGGAAACTAAGTTATGCAATAGTGAAAAAAAGTTTTCCCCTATTTTTATGTACCTCCTAAAAATGTTCTTTCTTCCTTCTGAATAAGTAATGTTCTCATGATTCAAAAATCAAATAGTGGATTGTGAGGAATGCAACCAATGTCACCGAGTAATTTGTGAAAAAACTGCTGAATGAGAACCTAAAGTGCTATGTAAACCTTCACTAAAAACACAGTAAGTTTTATTTTAAAAAATAAATAAAATAATAATCATATAGTAGACAAAATCATGAAATGAGAGATCTTAATTCCATCCCTGTAAATAGGAAATCACTTTGACTAATTTCTTGGGTGTTTTTCACATTTCTTTTTGTAAACACAAGAAATAAAAAACTAGCATGTAATATATATGGTATTGCACCTTGCTTTTCTTTACTTAATGATTATCTTGAAGAACTTCTGGTGCTTGCAATGTAAAAATAACAAACAACTATAGAGGGAGGCAGTGGGGAATCTAAGTATCAAAAACCAGCAAGAAGGGGTTGATTTGATGAGAGAAAGTATATTTCCTCATATTTCACAGTAGGAGTCAGTAAGTCGACTTTGCTGAAGTATACTATAGAGAACTATGGATTTAAACACACTGCTTATGTAACATCTGTAAGAACTAAAAATATACTAAACATCTTTCAAGTTACTGTTGAGGGGGAGGGAACAAGACAAGCAACCC